ACATATAAGTTTGGAATTTAGTGCTAAATAGTTGGGCCATGGCCCATGGAGGCAAATATCAGTACACCACAACCATACGGTCATACGTACGGTTCACGTGACAGGTCATTATTTATATTTTTTTAAAATAATTTTTGACAAAAATAAATTCAAATGGAGTAATATAAAATTTTCAGACAAGATAATCTTTTTATCAAAAAAATTTCATACGGATTTTTTTTTTTATCAAATACTTAGTTACAAGAAAATTGGTCCATTAATTATTTTCATATCTAATTGCAATAAATTGACAATTGCCAATTGATATATACGAAGTATAGTTTAATTTATAGATAACGATATTCCAGAAAATTAGTTGCGCAATTGATAACAAAAGTATCATGTGAAGCACAATAACAAAAATAGCTTCATAGCTTAGCTTGATTGATAAAATTAAATAGGTGACCTTGATTATATTAAAATTGCGGTAGGTCGGCTTAATTGAATAAGCTAAAAGAGCATGATTGTCGAAATAATTATGTTGATTATGTATTGAAAATGAAATCTCGACTGTAGCTGTTTAATCATGCATGATTTTTGCTGTTAACTTACGCCAAACTAAACTCAATTTGTACGGCATTGGAGCGTGTTCCGCACTTAAAGTTTTCGTGCTTCACCCTTTACTAGTCCTTTTATAAACTGTCTAATTTTTACGTAAATTAGAATGAGAATGAAAATATTTAATTTGGAGTTATTTTGTTTGTAAAGTGTGGGAAAAAAATAATTATAATTATTCTTATAAACTAGCAAGTTATCAAGATATGTTCACATGTGATTTCAAGTTCAAAATGCTTAATCGTCAGGCCACTACTTGTGATCAATGTATGATAAGCTTAATTTTGATAATGCATACATTAAGCATATATAGTGGAAGCTATATTTCTCTCCTCGGAAGGGACCTTTCACCGGGGTCATTCGGGGGCCAGTCGAGGCCCGTTGGCCCCCCGTAGCTTATTGTAATTAATTAGTTAATGAACTTAAATATTAACCTATATTTACTTATAAAATATTAGAATATAGTAATTAGTTTTGAGGGAGAGGTGAAAGATTTAAATCTCAGCCCCTCTAATATTTTTTATCAAGATTCGCCACACTGCTCTCATGGTACTCATATTGGACACGCGTTGATCAACTATTAGTATAAAGATTATATTGCATAAATGTGGCACCTAATAATAATGAAATGTAAGTTAAAGAGCTCGTTATCGTCCATATGACCATATCTATGTTACTCCGTACTTGTATTAATTATTGCATCGAAAATCTAACATGCAATGGCTTTTGAGGCAGAATGGAAATGTATGGAGTAATAACATATATATAGATCGAGTGATGGCACATGCCCCAACTTGCTCAAGAGTGGATCCACCGTTTAAAAAAAAATGATTTAGAGTTAAAATTTACCATTATCTTAATTACCTTATGATTTAAAGTTTTGATTATTCACGTACAATTATTGGCTTTTTCTGATTTAAAAAAAAAAATATTATTAGCTTTTTCTAAAATGCTTTATTAATTAATAGTATATATATACTGTTATACTTCGCATATGATAGTCCAATACGAAGTATCATACTTATAGTATAATTTGGCTTTTTGCACCAATACTATATTAATTTACTTTGACCATTTATATATTTTATAGATTTAACATAGTTAAAAAGATATTGATGTCACTAAGTCAAATAGTGCTGAATAATGAATCTTAATGTACATGTTCAAATTAAAACATCAAAATTATGAAGAATCGAAAAGATAAATTATCAATAGTGTGGAGTCATTGTTGGTCGGAATATATACTTGATAACTGAAATGAATACATGCATGCATGCATGGATGCCTTAGCTTACAGTACATGTATGTGTCTTTTAAGTCATCGCGCACTCATCACTTGAGGAATGTTATTGTTACCATTGCATGTGATTTAGTAAAAAGGAATTGAAATTAAGATTACATTCTATGTGACAAAAATAAAATGAGCATGATATTAATAGTATATATTATATAGGAACATATCACATTTCATACACCAACGAACAGACGAACTTCATATCACACAAGAAGTGTATGATGTTTAGTACACGTTCAAGTTTCAACAATATGTTCCACTATTCTACGTACCATACACAACGGACTAATACAAATTAACTAAGGATATAAGTGCATGCTATATGGAATTTAGTTAGTTAATTAGATAGCATGCACTACAAGATCGCGATTTAGTTCTCTAGCTAATTAATATAATTAATGTAACGATATATGAGTACGATGGATATCATGACCTTTTATCCAAGGCAGCTATGATACGATTGAAGGTATACTCATCACAAGGAAGCACAATCTTCTCTTGGCTACCAAATCCATACTCATCGGCGGAATTCTCTAACAACTGTTGAAAAATCGCGTTTCTTAAGAAGTATGTAGGCACGATATATCTTGTCATCTTGTTTCCTACATACACCACAAAGTGGCCCTTTGGTGCCCTTAAACTACCTTCTGCCTCAACTCTTTTTGGCATAGTAAATTATGTACTTCTAAAACAAACTATATAAGAGAAACTAGACGGATATATATTATTGTTTTGAGGAGTGTGCCTAAATGATAAACCGTTATCATATGTTATATATATATACGTAGTGTATAAGACTAGTTAGATATATATATAATGGTAAATTATATGAAAGATAAAAAGGCCGGTGCAGAAGGCAGGAGATGGAAGTAACGTGGAGATGTTCATGGCCATGCAAAAGTGCAGTGCATGAGGATTATTGAAGGGTAGTACATAAGTAATTAAGGAGCAAGCTAGCTAAGATTTATTTAGAGATAGATAGAAGATGTGGGTGATTCAATATTTATCCCAGGTTTCACATGTATAGTGGCAGGGCCAGGGCCCTTCCATACTTATGAAATAAATCAATTACGACTTACCTTTCGTTGATTGACTTGAATTGTACTGTTCTGTATCTACTCCTTCCATCCTGCTAGAATTGCCTTGTAATCCTTTTTGGGTGTCCTACTGATCTAAAATTTTTCAAATATGAGGGATGTACTACCACTTTTGGTTCCACTAATTTTCAACTTCATCTAATTAAACTTATAAATTATTAAGTAAGGTACTACTATGTACGACTATTATAAATTGGGACTATATATACATAATCATTATATTGAGACAAAGGGAGTACAATATATAGCTAGCCACTAAGGTGTAGCGAAAGGTAGTGGAATTTAATTAGTTTCACCAAACATATTGTGGGTATTTATGTTTCGAATATGTATGTATGTATGTACTTCTACTAGAAGATATGTACTCTGTTAGATAATAGGATTTAGGATTGCTAGCTATAGTAAAGAGATAATTGACTACATATCTAGCTTCTTTCTATCATTGATAGAATTCAATGAATACGCATGTGTTTGTATGGGCATGTATGTATGACTTAACAAATTAAGAGCCGATAGTGATTAGTTGAAGTAAGTAGTTACTCCGACCTGTCAAACAAACAAACAAAATAAAAAATAAAAAAGTAAGTAGTTACTCCGTCGTCTGAGGGTTTTAATTCTTTCAAAATAAAAAAGCAAGTTAGTTGTTATGAGAATTGACTAATAGACTAGATTGTGCATTTAATTTAATTGTTATGAGTTCATGACGGATGTAAGAAAGATTAGCAAAATCAACAAATAAGAATACATATATGTTTTATGCGATTCACTAATGATAAGTTAGCTATGTTCGTGAACATATCAGAGTTTTATTGATTATAAAGATAATATATAAATTACAAAATAGTGATGAATAGGTTAAAACTTAAGGAGTTTATATGGTACTCCCAAAACAAATTATAGAGTGACAAAGATATAGCCCCACCCGCCCCCTCCCCCCCCCCCCCCCAAAAAAAAAAAAACATGGCCCACATAATAGAGATCAAAATAAGTTCAAAAGGGAATAACGGATTCAAGACATATTCTAACACTAATCATTTTTTCTAGTAAAAAACACTAATATTCAATTGTTCATTTTGATTATTCCCATTAGGAGTATATGCATGATTACGACTTAAACTCATGTTCAATTTGTGTTAAACTAATCGATAAAATCATGTATGAACCCCCTAATGCATAGTTAAATTTTAACCTCATGCACTACATCAAATCAAATACTACCATAAAATCCCAACCAAAGCAATTGAATTATTTATTACTTGATTGATTCATATCAACATAGAAAGGGGAGTTGGGACCTAATCTAGACTATATAATACATTGATACATATTATATATACGTACGTACTACTATGTCCTTTGAAGCCATTCCTCACCCATAATATAGGCACATATAATTTACCACCCTAGACTATATACCACCTTAGTAGAAGGTGATATTTACGAGCGAGTAATATTTATGGTATCGAAGTGATATCATATATTTATATGCATGTCAGCAGGTCTACTGGCATGGAGCAAACTACAAGTTGTGCTATACACAAATCTTAGGGGTTGAGCTTTGTAGAGTATAGCCATCTCTTTTGTTGGAAGGCATGCCGATAGGATCGGCATGAAATATGTTTGAACATCGCTTTTAAAATTGGGACGAGCTCGATAAGCCGAACAACTTATTAATGTCAATTTTTCCATAATTATAAAATTTATTATGGGGCCTATTGGCAAGGCACGTGTGCCAAGTTATGCATGAACTCATTTTGTGAAAGATTGACAAGAGCTTTATACGCCACAACATTTCTTGGCCTGTTCTAGATAAAAACCAATTAAAGACGAATCCAGAAGTATCGGAAGAAGACCAAGAAACTACTCGACTATGAGGTACACTGACACAATACATAAGCCTACATTACTCAGTCACACAGTTTGTGCTCACCTTTGGCCAATTGGCCGGAAGTAGCTAAATCCGGATCCAGCTGAAATGTCAAAAAAAAAAAAAAAAAAAAAAGTTCCCATAAGCCATAGGTCCATACTAATGTTTGGGCCGATTGTTAAACGGGCATTTCGCAAACATTTCTGCAAATTACTACGTACAAATTTTACTGACCAAGTGACCATTGAGTAAAAGAAAAAAAAAAAAAAAAGGAAAAAAGGAAAAAAGAAAAAAGAAAAAAGAAAAAAACAGTAGCAGAGACAGAAGAAAACTTGAAAATTCAGCATTTACAGAAAACACAAGCTTTCTCTCTCTTCTCAAACTTTGAAAGTAAGGGAGGAGAGAGAGAGAAAACCTGGAGAATTTTTGTTCGTCATGCGATCGAAACCTGTATTAAACCCAATCACAATAACAATCATGCTATCAATTTCAATCTTCTTCCTTCTCTTCTTTTCTGGATTCTTCCAATTTTCATCTTATGCTTCTCCTTCTCTTAATGACCCATCAATCAAATCAAGTAAACCCGACCCGTTTACCGACTTGTTGAGTGCGTTCAGAAAATGGGATTCTGAAGTTGGTTGCCCGAAATTTAGAGAAAAGTTTGAGAATTGGGGTTTTTCAAATGCTTCAAATTCGTTGCAATTTAGTGATTTGGAAGGAGGAATTGAGTGTGGAAAAGAGTTGAAATTGAAGCATGTGAATGTGTTGGTTAAAGGGTGGACTTGGATTCCTGATAATTTGGAGAATTTGTATGAATGTAAATGTGGGTTAAGCTGTTTTTGGACTAAATCTTCTGTTCTTGCTGATCCTCCTGATGCCCTTTTGTTTGAAACCACTACTCCTCCTTTGCAGGTATACCATTTCAAAATTTATTGTATAGTTTATTATGTTTATATTGTGATGATTGTATACATCTTAATTTATAGTATTGGAAATGTGTGTGGTTTTTGTGATTTGATGTTTATGAATGTGATTTGTTATGCATTTGGTGTTAAGAGGGGATTATCAAGTGTTGTGCCAGGAATTTGGGAGTGGGGGGAAGATCATTTTTCTGTCTTCGGATTGCGGGGCGGGAGAGAATGTTGTGTATGTTTTGATCTTGTTTGATCATGGTTGCATCATGAGGTAGATATGAATATTGAGATATGGTTTAGTGTGAATAGTTAGGTAAACTATGATGTTGATATTATAATGAAAACGTTAGGCTTACTCCTTAGACTGCTCCTTTTTTTTGGGAATCAAATTAACCTGTTGTAGTCAAAGCTGGCTAATGAAATTTATAGTGTCAGAGAGTGCAGTTCTATGGTAGTAAAGGGTTTGGTTTTTGATTGAAAAGAAATAAAATGACTGGTAACATTGATAAGCATACACGCTGACATGTTGTAACAGGACATAGACATTGAGTTTTTGTAGCAGTATCAATTCAGAGATTGTGAGATGCTTGGGATTTGGGAAAATTGTTGATTTGATTTGTGCTTTTGGGGAATTATTTGATGAAGAAGAAAGCATACCTGATACAATGTTGTCGTTAGTGTTTTGGTGTGTTGAATAGGTTTTAATACGACTCTCTTAGTGCATGAATCTTTAGGGGAGAGGGACTTTAAAGTTGAACATATGTCACATGCTGTTTGAATGCTCATCATACAATAATTACCATTAGTGTTGATTTCTATTAGAGAAGAGACTTAAGGGTTAAGGCCTCTTTTATATTGGTACTGTCGAATGGGCAATAGGTGTTCAGTTGTTCACTTAGGTGTGATTCTAATGAAATCTGTTTTTAGAGATATTTTATTACCCGAACTTCTGTAGGTAATGTTGCTTTGTAAAGAATTGCATGTGAATACACCAAATCAGGCTAATGATTCCAAACTTTGCTTTTCTTGTCTAGGCATTAGGTTGCAATTTGACTTTGAGATAGGTTAATTAACACTTACAAGGTGCGTCCCTTATCTTGATGTGCTTATCTCCTGTTCTCCTCGTTAGAAATTGGCATATTTTTGGGAATTAACTTGCTGAATGTTAAATTGTTAAGGTGTTAGCAGATGTTAGGTGTGGCCTTAGCAATATTGTGTATCTAGCTTGTGTCACCCTAGGAATGGTATAAACCCTTTATTTTAAACCTTATTAGTGAAAAATGAGCTATTGTTCGGAAAATTAACCTTGGCAATGTGCACAAGTCAGGCTGAGTAGTGAATACATGACAGTTGTTCAGTAGGTGGGTTCAATCACTTAGAATGTTTTGACTGCAGAGAGCAATTATAAACCATTACTTGTTGGGTGCTCAGTTAACTATACTGGTATGGTCTTCGGAGTTATAATTGGAGGAGTATGTAGTTTATGGGAGATTTGTCATTGAATGATTGCTCCTTATCTATGAATCTATCAGGCTTTTGGGATTTGATACTGTTGTGAACTTGTGGTATGCATAGCTTCTAATCAATATTTTTTGTTATAAGGGGAATGTTGGGTTTCAAAGGTACAGGGGAATGTTGGGTTTCAAAGGTACATTAAGCATGAGTTGTGACAGGAATTAGATCTTGGGCTTTTTTGTATAACCAATTAAGAGGGGCATAAGATATCTAGGAAGGAGGATTTTTTCTATAGTTTGATATGTGCTCGTTTTGGGTTATCTGAAGATGCTTCTGAAAGATATCTAGGAAGGAAGATTGTTTCTTTAGTTTGATGTGTGCTTGTATTGGGGTTATCTGAAGATGCTGGCATGCTGCTGAGAACATATCTCTATCCAGTATAGTACTTTGAGTTTTGGCATACATATGTTTTTATGCTCAACTCTGTGTTATTATGCTCTGGGGGTTCCAAGCTGGACAAATGTGCGGTATTAGAAAGTCATCATTATACCAAGGCCACCATAACATGTGCTCCTGTTTACTACTGTAGATGAGAGTTAGAAGTTGGAAAGTTAATGATGTTATCATATGACTGCTGAATGGCCAATAGGTATAGTTATGATGAAATATGTAATTTTTCCAAACATTGTAGTTCATCATTTGTGAGCTTGTGACTAAAGGCATTTGTAAATAGTAATCCGTGTATATTCTGAATTTCTGAGTTTTCTGACAATCGAGTCACTTGATTTTAAATCAATATTGATGTTGTGTGCTCACAGCATGATTCATCTAGCTTTTGTCATCCCAGGAACAAATGTTTAATGAACTTGTTAATGTGTGCCCTTGAGCAATGTGATTCATCAGCTTGTATCATTTAAGAATAGATGTGTTCTAGTCTTTATGTGTGTGCCTTGGGAGAGTTCGATATCAAACGGTCATAATTCCCTTGTTTCTAGTTAAATTATGCGCGTGATACTGTGATGTATGTAGCTCCCGAATTAAACATCCTCCAAGTGGTTTTACTTTCAGCCGGGAGTAATGAATAAGGTACCATATCTCTGTTCTCTATCAACTAGATGCTCTAAAGACTTGCTCATTTCTTCAGAGACGCATGGGTGACCCACTATGCATCTACATGGATCTTGAGGCTGGTAGGAGACGGTCAGGACGTGAGGATATTTTTATTAGCTATCATGCCGAGGATGATGTGCAGGCAACATATGCTGGAGGCCTTTTTCACAATAATCGTAATTACCAAGTGTCTTCTCAAAAGAAGAATGTAAGTCTTTTATTTTTTTTAGCAAAACCAAGGCCACTATATTTGCCCCCCCCCACCCCTTCCCTTAAACTCTCTATCGCTTGCTTTTATGCTTTACGTCTTTACCTGATGTTGAGTCTCTGATTTCAGGATACTCTTGTATACTGGTCATCATCTCGTTGCCTTCCTGATAGAAATGATCGTGCCAAGAGACTTCTTGCCTTATTACCTCATCATTCTTTTGGGAAGTGCTTAAACAATGTTGGTGGCCTGGACAAGGCACTTTCTATGTATCCAGAATGTATGAAGGACCCTACCTCTACTCCGAAATGGTGGGATCATTTACATTGTGCCATGTCTCACTACAAGTTCGTCCTTGCTATTGAGAACACTATGACCGAGAGCTATGTCACTGAGAAACTATATTATGCCCTTGATGCTGGATCTGTTCCGATCTATTTTGGGGCACCAAATGTATGGGACTTTGTGCCCCCACATTCGATAATAGATGGTAGTAAGTTTAGTTCATTAGAGGAACTAGCGTCTTACATCAAGACACTTGCTAACGACCCTGGTGCTTATGCGGAATATCATGCTTGGAGAAGATGTGGTGTGCTTGGTAACTATGGAAAGACTCGTGCAACGAGCATTGATACGTTACCCTGCCGCTTATGTGAGGCCGTTAGTAGACAGGGTGGAAGGAGTGCCAAAGCTTAGTGATTTGCTGATCATCTCCAATGGTGGGGAGACATCTGCTGATTTTTTTCCTTTAAATTTTGGAATTTAGAATTTGCTGTAAATATATGTCCATTTGTTAGGTGTTAAAGGGAATACGAATAGGTTGTATGATTTTGAGAAATACTATATTCATTGTAGTGAGAATGGAAGTCACTAGATAAAAAATTTTTGGTTGTCTTTTTGGAATTTCTTCGCCTTCAATTACTTCACCTTATAATGGCCTATGTTTGGTGGCCTGACCTGTGTGTTGATTAGATTTGCCTTGTTTATAAGTTTGTAAGTTGTAACTATCTTGAAACAAACAGCTATGAATCAAGAACAAGTTTTGACATAAGCTGGCATGGTTGCTCAAATTTTTAATTATTTTTTTTCAATCTACAGTTCTAGAGCATATATGCTCAAAATCGCCCAAAACCTAGCCATTTACTAACAATTTAGGAGTAACAATGAAATGAATTTGCCTATTAACAAAACTTGACTTCATTTTTTTTTTTTTAATTTTCAAATTAACAGGTAAATCAACAGAGCTTTATGTTTCAACGGTCTATTCTATACACTCACTTTCTCGGTGAGATAGAGGACTAGCTCTCAGACTTTTAGACATGAAGGCAGAGGTTAAATTTCACCTTAATTTTAGGAGGGATTTGTCTGAAGTATTCCCTTCTGATATTCAACAAATGACGGTCTTACACTCTATATCAGTCGAGGACAGATCGGGTCCAAAAAAATTCTCAAACAAGGGTTAAATATAAAACAATGCACTAATCTTTCACTATTCATCAAACGGTCTACTGGTGAAAGCCTTACCTATTTAGACAAACACACAAAGCCACAAATGGAGAAAGAATGATGAGAGTACTGGCGCCAAGTGCACACCGGTTTATAAGCTACCCAAAATATTCATTCTCTCTCCTCCATCACCCTCTTCTTCTTCCTCTGAAAACCCCATTTCTATTAAACCCTCCTAAAACCCTACGTTGCAGGGCAACCATGGCGTCGGAACCCCACTTCACAATCCAAGTCAAAGACCAAATTCATCTCACGGAGAAGGAGTCTCTCATTTTTAAACGCTTAAAAGATGTTCTTCATCACTTCAATCTTGACACCCAGCTCCGTGTTGCAGGCGGTTGGGTCCGAGATAAGGTCTAATTTTTATTTATCTTTGATAGATTAACAGTTATTTTGCTCATAATTTGATGATTGTGTAATAATTTGTTGAGTTTTTTGGTAAATTTTAATGGGTATTTACATTTTTGAAGAGTTAATTTTTATATTATTCTGTATAATACTTGTGAAATTGAAGTAAGCATGTTAATTTATATGCTTTGTTTTACTTATTTTGTTTGAGAACCCTTGGAAAGTGTTTGGAGAACTGTTCAGTTTGTGTATGGTTGATTGAATTGATTTTGTTTGAGGGTTGTAAAGTTTAATGGTAGATTGGAAAACTTTAATTGCCGTTTGGTAGGTGGTAATGGGATACAATTTGTATATGAATTTGTAAGAAATACCTAAGCTAGTTTGCCTCGTATATATTGGGAACGAAAGGAAAAGGCTCGAATGGGGTTGTTTTGATTTGAGTGTATGCTCATTTTGGAGGGATTTTAGTTTAGATTGAGCCATATTTGGGATGCTTTGTAGACATGCTGATCATCTGAAAGTAAGCCTGTTAAGCTTTGATGAAATCAGGGCAAGCAAGTCTAATTCATTTGGTTGGTGAACTTTCTTAATTGTAGTGACTGCCACATCGTGCTGTTGTGCTCTCTCGATCCTACTGTAATTTTCTTTTGTTTACAAGGGTTAATTTTGGTGAATCTGGATGATTCTTGAGCTGCATATTATTGCAGAAGGGAAAGGGATTGGGTCATTAAAAATTGGGTGAAGGCCAAAGTAGGATATAACATATGTGGAGTGTAGTAGATTATCCTGTCTCTAATTCTCCATATTGTTCACTTGCATTGATTCTCACCTAATTCTTTTATTTTTGCAGCTTCTAGGAAAAGATTGTTATGACATTGATGTTGCCATAGATAACATGTTGGGTAGGGAATTTTGTGAAAAGATCAATGAGTACCTATTAAAGACAGGAGAAGATGTTCAGGGAATTGGCGTGATTCAATGGTATATGCATATACAATCATTTGATATCTTTATCCGTATAAGTTCTCTCTCTGCCCCCCCCCCTCCTCACACACACACACACACACACATACAACCAAAATAAGTCACCACATAGTAGCATATAGCTCCTCAGTTTCGTCTTAGCTTTCCCTAATACCTCATGCATTTTACTCTGTTACTTCAATTTGACTTTCTTATGGCAGGACCTTTAGCTGGTACAATGTATTTTACTCCTTCCATGGGAATTTTTCTTTAGTAAATGGACTTTGAAAATGATGAATACTAAGTAATACTGATATAGTATATACATACCACGTCCAAACCTTTTCTTTTTCTCCTTCTCTCTCTCTGGAAGGTATACAAGATGCACAATCTTTCCCAAGCTTTGTCAGACAATTTCAACTATTTATCAACAGTTATATTCACTCTTAGGTAGAAATTTTATTGCCAGGATTTGCAATCTTTGCATGAATCAAAAGATAAACGACCCATGCTTACTTATGTTATAAGGTAGGTGTGAAGCAGTAGTGGTTTTGAGAAGAAATTATAACCCTTAAAAGTTAGAAGTGATGGTTTTAAATTAGGGGATATATGTATGGAGCAAGTTAATATTATTCGAGGCTCTGAGAATATATGCTAATCCTCCCTTTATGAGTAAGCCAAATACCTGGAACAGGTTTCTGCTTGTAAATTAATATGAGGTTCCAAGTTTATCAAATTTGCCACCATCTTATAATGCAGTTGCTGAAAGATCACCTTTTATTTGTGATATATGGTCAATAGCGCAAAATACTTGCTGTATATTCACTGTTACACGTGTGTGCATGTGAATTGATGAAGATCTTTTCTTTGCAGCAACCCTGATCAATCAAAACACTTGGAAACTGCAAGGATGCGCCTTCTTGATCTTTGGATTGATTTTGTGAATTTAAGGGCTGAAGATTACCGTGAAAATAGCCGCATCCCCACCATGGTTAGCTTAATGAACTTTCTATCCTTTAGAGAGTTAAATTAATGCCACAATGCATTTAAATGACATTTTTACTGGAAGATTGAGGTGGAAATGGGCTAGCCACAACTGGTTCAGGTGCCTTATGGCCCTCACTGTAGCCGGTCTGAGGCAGGCCATGGTCCGGTTCAGTAGCTAATGACTAGAAACCCAGGTTCAGGTTCTGGGCTTTCGCATTTTAACATTAATATTCAAAATATTATTGATGGAAAATGTTAGATTAATGAACCATGCCAATTGGTACAAGTGTACAACAATAAATGTGGACCCTCTTGGCAAGCCAGTTCATAGCTTAGGTTTGGCCAGTTATGGACGGCTTATGGAGTTGTTTCTGATTGACTTTGGTTTAAATTACAGAGATTTGGCACCCCAGAAGAGGATGCGTATAGGAGGGATTTGACTATAAACAGGTAATTCATATTTTGCTTCAATATTCTTTAATCAAGTTAAATTATGGAAGAAAAATGAACAATTACTTTGGTCAAAATGTTGAATCTTCATTTCCTCTCTCCGAGTATGCTTTGGTGCCGTTCTCTTGGGCTTTCTAAGACATTGAAAATATTTTGTTAGAGAAGAGTATATCTATCCAATGTAAAAAAAAAATTTATAATTACATGTTGCTTCATTTTTAACCTTTGACATTTTGTAGGATGTGATTATGTGAACCGTTATCAGAACTGTTCACAACTTCACATAATTTACACTTCTTATCATTTAAAGGGGGATTTTTTTGTTGTAATAACTTGTAAATTTCTACTCAGTAAAATATTGCATATATTTTCTGAAGAATTTGATCTTGGTTGATTATTATTGTTATTGTTATTGTTATTGTTATTGTTATTGTTATTGTTATTGTTATTGTTATTGTTATTGTTATTGTTATTGTTATTGTTATTGTTATTGTTATTGTTATTGTTATTGTTATTGTTATTGTTATTGTTATTGTTATTGTTATTGTTATTGTTATTGTTATTGTTATTGTTATTGTTATTGTTATTGTTATTGTTATTGTTATTGTTATTGTTATTGTTATTGTTATTGTTATTGTTATTGTTATTGTTATTGTTATTGTTATTGTTATTGTTATTGTTATTGTTATTGTTATTGTTATTGTTATTGTTATTGTTATTGTTATTGTTATTGTTATTGTTATTGTTATTGTTATTGTTATTGTTATTGTTATTGTTATTGTTATTGTTATTGTTATTGTTATTGTTATTGTTATTGTTATTGTTATTGTTATTGTTATTGTTATTGTTGTTGAATAAAGCTTTGTTGTTGTTGTATGCTCACCATCTCTTTGCCTACAGGTTCTGTCTTGCTTTTATGGATACAGCACTGAGACTTATTCAGTCACTGGAATCTCTTAACTTAAATGTCAGTTTACATTTATCACATCTCTTTCATGCTTATGTGATATAAATCCTCTGTTTTTGATTATTAATGTTTCCTTTTGTATTATACTAGTAATAGATATCATTTTGGCCTATCTCGTGATCGAGTTAATTATATAGAAGTGCATCTCATGCATTTAATAATATACAATATAATGTTTTGGAAGGAATGGTGGAGCTTGACTTTCTAGTTAAAGTGTTAGGAGGGACAGCACAGCACAATCATCGATATCCTGAAATCCTGATTTCCCATACTGGCAAGTTTTGGCCTTGCCAGAAGCGCTCTCTCTCTCTCTCAGGATGAATGAAAACACCTCCAAAAGTTATCTTAGCATAGACCTCACATGCAATATTTAGGGAAGAGATTAAATCAGACCAAAGTACCAAAACTTTTATTCTATGCTGTTTTAGGCCTTAACCATACTAAACAATTTTCTTGAAGCTGATCTTGAAGAACAGTTTATTTGTTGTAACAGTATACATATATTTGAAGGCTGCATGCAATTCTTGTGTGTTAGGGTGGTGGTGATTTTGGTTTGAATTGTTATGTCTTAATAATTTCAGGATGAACAGAGGCGGTTGTGCTTATATTCTGCTTTATTTCTTCCACTAAGGAGCATGGTGTACAGAGATAATAAGAAGAAAAAGGTAGCCTTTAGTTAGTTAGCATCCCTGCCCCCTTTGTTCATAACACTCAGTTCTATGCTGTTCTCAAGAGGTGATGAAAGATTTTCTACCTGTTGAAAGGCTCTTTTGTTTTCATACTTAATGCTTGTTTTGCTTTCTTAGATGTTAATGTTCAGTTTATGATTTTACCCTTAATATTACTTGTTAGTACTATTTTTTTCCTGTAAATTATGCTCAACTGAAAAGTAATTATTTGGATAGGCGGAGATTTGGTTATACTGGCTTATGATAATATATCATCAGAAATTATCGTGTAAAGATATATTTCATGCTTATAATTATTGGACTGTGTTGTCAACTGTCAAGTAATCAAATCTGATGAATGGTCATCTTCATGCCTTTAGTTTACTGTTTTTTTTTTCCTGGTTTTGCAGGTCCCTGTGGTTGATTTCATTTTTCGAAATTCTCTCAAACTTAAATCTAAGGATGCTGAAACAGTTAGTTCTGATTCCTTGGGGCTCATGATATTGTTAAGGCTTTGTTACTTTGCTTTCTGGGTGACCTCAGTACACAATTGTCCTCATGATATGATAATTTTCTTACCTTATTAGGTTATAAGTGTTCACCGTGCAGCCGAGAAATTTATACCATAATTTCTTGTATTACGTCTGAAAAGGATGTGCAACATGCTGAAGCTCACTGTGGGAAAATCCTTATTGATGTCCCTGAGACACTGAAATTACAGATATTAGCAGGTCTTATTTTTTCCTCTTCATTTTGTTTTTATTTTCCCCCAAAATCCAAGAGTTAAGCCTGGTTGTATCTGTTTTCTTTAGTATAATATTAGGAGCTGGGTAGGAAAACGGATGTTTGCCTTTATTCCTGAAGGTGGTGAATAAACTGAACAAGGCTGTAGGATAGTCGGTTCTGGTCTTTCTGTGACAGTTGAGACTTGTTGCAAAATCGATTCCATGGACAGAAATCTCTTAAACGTATTATCTGTTCTGTTCTCCCAGGCTTGCTTCTCCGAGAAATCAAAGACTTTTGGCCAGTTGCATTGCTTGTATCCACGTTATTATATCCTAATGGTGATTTATGTGAGTCATTAGCTGAGGACTTGAAGTTGGAGAAGAATAAAGTTTTGTTTAAGCAGGTGAAGGATGTTGTTTTGAAACTAGGTAAGAATCTTACTAATTTTTGTCTTAGTTCCTAAATTTCATTGAAATTCTATTGTTATGATTGCTAGCTGTTTGCAACAAACTCATTGCTATGAACTTTTTTATTTCAATCCATAGATTCGCCTCTTGACTATCTGCATCTCTGGAGTTTTGCAATCCTAATTTTTTTTCTTTTTTTTTTTTTTTTTTAAACAAAGAATTAAATTTATACGACTTATGCGCAATTATGGTGTCTGAAATGTTTGATTGTGCAGATCTGGAAAACATTTGGGAGGCAAAGCCATTAGTCAATGGAAAGGACATTATGAGTATCTTAAACCTCAAAGCTGGACCAAATGTGAAAGAATGGGTGAGACCTTCATCTCCTGGTAAAATACTGGTTTTCTTTGAGATACTTTGGCCTAATTTATTTTCCTTTGTTATCTCCAGCAACAAAAGGTTATTGAATGGCAACTTGCCCATCCTACTGGAACTGCAGATGAATGCCAAGAATGGCTTAGGGAAGCAGGTGCTAAACGTGCAAGGATGGACGATAATGTCTAAGCAACCATTTTTCTGGATTTTTAAGACATAGGTGTCTTATTTAAGAGTAAGTATGCTTCGCAATCTTGAAGTACTAACACTCGGAATGATGTAGGATAACATTGCTAGATTGGTGGAGCTTTGCTATCAGACATATCAGTCTTTCATCTTTCACTGTCAACGATCATGCAGAGTTGGTCAGCCGAAGTTACATAGTTTGAAGAGTTTTTTTTTTTTTTTTTTTTTTTTTTTTTGACGGGGTTGCTTCAATGAAAGGATTTTGAAATTAACACAAAGATGATGCCAATTTTGTAAGTATCTTTGTCATGCATGTACATTGCTTCGAACCTTAAAAGGATTTATAGCTACCCTAACGATATTTTTGCTATGTGGTAATGAAATAACGGAAATGGTAAGTAAAAAGTTGTTGATTTGGTTAATTTTCTTCTTTTTTTGTTACCATATGAATTATGAGTGATTTATTTCAATCATGATTTGTATCAATATATAATGATTCCAATTGATAGATTATGGAGATATTTATAGATGAAGTATATACTAATCCATTAACCCGACAGTTAGTTGAACACATTTCCAAAAATATGAACATTAAGTTCAAATAGTATGAGCATATGTTTCAAAAATAATGAGCAATTACTGCAAAATTACGAACATAGAAACCATATATTCATATAGTATGAACATGTACATGTTCGGAATTTGAAAACTAATAGTTTAGTTGGAATAACAATGCGCATCGTAATCTCAGGTGCATGATATAATAATTGTGTAATACGGAGTAACTACCAAAACCCACCCATCCAATTAAGTTATAAGCTCATTTATACTTCGTATAAAAGTACCAAATTGTCATGAACTGTATCGATGATTGACAGTAAAATGCATAAACATAATAAATAAATCTGCTGGCTACTTTTATTAGTTGTTAACTTATTACTTTGTATTAACTATTAAGCCTTTGATGCATATTTTTGATGCATTGTTGTGCAACCCCTTATGAAGATCACCTCCTCTTGAAGTCTTGATTATCTATACAATAAGTACTCCCTCCGTTTCATAAAAATATTCGAGTAATAAATAGTGCTATTCCATGATGATTCAGTGTTATAATACTTTGATTAGTTTGTAGCTTTTATCTCCATTATGACCAAGTTATGCACTTCAAACCAAATCTTTCACCATTCTCTTTCAATTTACTACAAAAACCCATCTCTCTGTTTTTCTACTGCACACAAAAACTCATCTCAGAAAACCCAAAACCTTTCATACTCAAACAATGCATTGCACTTTTGCAATCATCTACTTCTTCCAATCACAAACTCAAACAAATTCATGCTTTTTCTATCAAACATGGTGTCCCATTAAACAACCCTCTACTTGCCAAACACCTAATCTTCTTCTCTGTTTCTCTTTCCAAATCCATGAATTATGCCCAGAAAATCTTCTCCCAAATTCAAACCCCTAATATTTTCACCTGGAATACCATGATTAGAGGCTATGCTTTCAGTGAAAACCCTAGACCAGCCATTGATTTGTATACCCAGATGAGAGCAGTTCATCTTGTTGAGCCAGATACACATATTTACCCTTTTCTATTGAAGGCAATTTCTAAGTTACTGGATGTAAAGTTGGGGGAAAAGGTGCATTGTGTTGTAATTAAAACTGGGTTTGAATCTTTGGTTTATGTGCAAAATGGGTTGGTGCATTTGTATGCTACTTGTGAATACCCTGATAGTGCATACAAGGTGTTTGATAAAATGTCTGTTAGAAATCTTGTGACTTGGAATTCTGTGATTAATGGGTTTGCTTTGAATGGGAAGCCTCATGAAGTTCTGGATTTCTTTAGGAAGATGAGCTTGAAGGGTATTGAGCCTGATGGATTTACAATGGTGAGCTTGTTATGTGCTTGCGCCGAGCTCGGTGCATTGGCATTAGGTAGGAGAGTACATGTTTACATGTTTAAGGTTGGCTTGAATGAGAATTTGCACGCAGTAAACGCGCTTTTGGATTTTTATGCAAAATGTGGAAGAATTAGGGAAGCCGAAATGGTTTTCGATGAGATGAGAGAAAGAAGTGTGGTATCTTGGACATCTTTGATTGTTGGGTTAGCTGTGAATGGGTTTGGAAGTGAAGCAATTCGGCTTTTTGAGGAGATGGAAGTGCAAGAACTGGCACCAACTGATATCACCTTAGTTGGAGTCTTGTATGCTTGTAGTCACTGTGGAATGGTGGATAAAGGATTTGATTATTTCAATCAGATGAAAGATAGGTATGGAAGTACGGCGAGGATTGAGCATTATGGTTGTATGGTTGATCTACTTGGTAGAGCAGGAAAGGTGAAAGAAGCATATGAATTCATTAAAGACATGCCAATGCAATCAAATGCTGTTATTTGGAGGACATTATTAGGTGCATGCTCACTGCATGGGCATCTAGCTCTTGCACAAACTGCAAGGTCCAAACTTTTAGATTTAGACCCTAAGCATTGTGGCGATTATGTGCTTCTTTCGAATCTCTATGCATCCGAGCATCGTTGGACTGATGTCCAGCAACTGAGGGCCAAAATGGTAGAGGAAGGAGTTAGGAAAACACCGGGATTCAGCCTTGTCGAGTTGAGGAATCGTGTTCATGAGTTTGTTATGGGAGATCGATCTCATCCTCAGGACAAAGAGATATACGCGATGTTAAGAGAGATCACAAAGGTTCTAAGATTGGAGGGCTATGTGCCTCACACAGTGAATGTGCTAGCTGACATTGAGGAGGAAGAAAAAGAGACTGCCTTGACATATCACAGTGAAAAGATTGCTATTGCTTTTATGCTCATTAATTCTCTGCCTGGAACTCCAATAACAGTAATCAAGAACCTAAGGGTGTGTGCTGATTGCCATCTTGCTATCAAGCTCATATCCAAGATTTTCGATCGTGAAATCGTTGTTAGGGATCGAAGTAGATTCCATCATTTCAAACATGGATCTTGTTCTTGTAGAGATTATTGGTGATCATTTGTTAGACATGAAATTATTTCGGTACTTTTTTTTTTGGCCCTTTAGATATGTCAAATGTCAATATTCAATGTGGAATTATTCATTTGTAAACTTAGATCAAATAGGTTAACTGGTTAAGGTCATCTATTGACAATTCTTGTGACAAAGTTATAAATTTTGTTATATCTGCCATATAGAGATGGTAAAGTTTGAGATTTTTTTTAATTATTATTTTCAAACTTTCAAAATTTTAATACCAAAACTATGATTTGACAAAAACTTTCAATTTTCATAAATTAGTCTTAGATAAGGCCATCTAAGGTCTATCTTTAAATAGTCGCGAGAGAATGAGGGATGAATAATCCCCCATCTGTCCTCGGTGTGACCTAGATTCAATTCTCGCCCCACCCCTTCCACGTTAGGAGGGGCACCTCTCGTATGTTACCGTATACGGAGTAAAAAAAAAACCTTTACATAATTGCGAGACATTAAAAAGATACTTTTTTTAAAAAAAAAAAAAATTAATTCCGAGGATTATATTTAAATCCACAAACCAGAGTAAAGGAAACAAAACAGGAATCCGCGAACTTAAAACTCCAGAAAAACAAACACAAACAGTTCCAAAAGAAGAAGCCATGCGAATACGATCAGTAGCAGTTGAACTTCTCGTCTTCACGACCATCTCTTTCTCTCTCCTCCCGATCTTCGCCGATGAACAGCAATTCGACATTGATGGAAAAGTGATTGATTTGGACGATTCAAACTTTGATTCTGCAATTTCAACCTTCGATTATGTCTTCGTCGATTTCTACGCCCCTTGGTGTGGTCACTGCAAGCGTCTCTCTCCTGAGGTTCTCTTTCTCTCTCCTCTTGTTTTTCTGCTCTTTTAGATCTTCTTATTGCACTCTTTTATTTCCTTGATTTTCCTCAATTTCATTATGATTGAATTTTTTGACTGTGTTTTTATATAATTAGGGTTTTCTGTTTGATATGGAGTATAAATTTTGCGAATAATTGGCGAAAAGTTTTCAATTTTTTTTTTGGTTGTGTTTTTCTTTTACTAAAACTGATGCAAAATGGCGATTATAAATGTCTGATTAGAGTGTTGTTGAGATCTAGTAGGAGCAGAGGTTCTGTCTGTTTGAAATAATCTTTATCAATCTTCAAATTTGTACATCAGTAGTGTGTTTCGATGCGATACGATTTGTTGCTTGAATTGTTTATGCTACCAATTGTTATGTACTGTATTAGCAATTTCTAATGTTTTCCGTTTCCCTTTGTGTTTGGTAGAGTTTTGTGCTGATGTCGTAAATTCGAATAGTGCAACTGTAGCAAGTGACATGATTCTACTTGTGTTTAAGAAAGTTATCCTACTATTCCGAAGTTATCGTGATGTATAATGATTTAGGATGCCTAGATCAAAATTGTCACCTTTCCTTAGAATGTTAATCAACCAGTTAGATAGAGTAGTTATTTTTAATGATTGGACTTTCCAAGATACTCTTATCCTAGTTAAGTGATAGGGACCGGAGAATGTAGGACTGGTTTAAAACTTCAAACTTTATCACGGATTTTATAATAGAACTATGTTATATCCTTGATCATGGCAGATTAATAATTAAGGGAACTAGTATATCTGTATGGAGGGGATAAATGGATTATATAGAAATAGAATATATGCACTTTTAATACTAATTGATCAATTCGATTTGAATGAGAATCATTTTGAACTTCAGGAAGAGTAATCTGCGAGCAAACTCTGTGTGTTCGCATTATAATTTATAACACTAGATGAGTAGATGCACTTTTCTTCAATTCTTCTGTTTGTCCACCCCCAGCTTGCCCCTAGTAACAAATAAATCTACAATTTTATTCTTAATTTGTGATAATAATTCTAACATATTCAATTTTGTCATGTACGCGTACCCAATTATTACTATTATGTAAACAGAAATTGATCGCTTAAACCAAAGATATTCATGTTTCTAAATTTTAAGTGCAGTTGGATGCAGCTGCTGCTGCCCTTGCTGGACTGGAGAAGCCCATAGTGATTGCTAAAGTTGATGCTGACAAGTACAGACGTGTTGGTGATAAATATGAGATTGAGTATGTAATTGGTCTTTTTCAGATGAACACCTTATGGAAATTTTGACAACTAAAAATTTAGCAGGGATTGTTGTACAGTTTACAACTTTACAATATGCAATTGCCAATTGCAAGTTGTATAATACTATTCCATCCAAAAAAAATGTATAATTCTCTGCTCTGGATCTGTCAGTGAATATTTCTGGGAATAAGTTACTCCAGTTATCTTGCATAATTAATTTTTTAAGGCGATTAATTTGGTCAGTAATAATTCTGCTTTTCATTGTTATTCAGTGGCTTTCCAACTCTGAAGCTCTTCATGCATGGTGTTCCCGTTGATTATAATGGACCGAGGAAGGCTGATTTACTTGTCCGTTTTTTAAAGAAATTTGTTGCTCCTGACGTATCTATTCTCGATTCAGACACTGCTATCAGTAACTTTGTTGAAGAAGCTGGCTCTCATTTTCCCATCTATGTTGGCTTTGGAATGGATGAGTCTGTCATATCCAAGTTTGCCGTCAAATACAAGAAACAGGCATGGTTTTCAGTGGCAAAGGATTTTTCAGATAGTGTTATGGAATCGTATGATTTTGACAAAGTACCAGCTCTAGTGTCCCTCCATCCAACTTACGATGAGAAAAACATATTCTATGGGCCTTTTGACGGTAGGTTCTAATTCAGACTATCAAATTGACCAAATCTTTTTATATTTGTTGGCAATGTCCCTTGCTTTTTAAATAAGACCATGGAAACAGGAGCAAAATTGCTGAAAATTGTTGGAATTGCACATCAGTGATTGATCTGTGAAACTTGTTGGATTTGCACATCAGTGACAGGTTTTAGTGCCTGATCTGTGATTTTGGTTGAGCTCCTTGCAGATCCATTTTCCATCCCTTTTCTTTTGTTACAGTCTTTATATCATGCAGTGTTTAGGAGTTGGGACTATAGGCTAGTTTTTTAAAAAAAAAAATGTGAAAGAGATTACTCTATAGGTGAAGGTTTTGTAGTTGTATTGTTTGTTTGTTTGATTCCATTAGCATCAGGTCCCTTTGTCTTACTTATACAATTTGCAATTTGCATTTTGGGAAAAAAAAATTTAGTTGCTATCTTGCTATGTGTAAACGTGGAGTTTTGGAACTCACAGATGTGAACTTTAATGTGTACATATCAAGAAAATGCTTAGTTGACCTGTTTATCATGTGCAGATCAATTCTTGGAGGAGTTCATTAGGCAAAATGTATTGCCCTTGTGTTTGCCTATAAATTCTGACTCATTGAAGTTGTTGAGAGATGAAGATAGGAAAATTGTTTTGACATTTGTGGAGGATGAGAATGATGATAAAACGAAACAGCTGGTCAAGTTACTGAAGGCTGCTGCTTCTGCTAATCGTGATTATTTATTTGCTTATGCTGGTCTTCAGCAGTTTCCGGACTTTGTTGAGACATTTGAGATCAGTAAAAAAACAAAACTGCCAATAATGGTTGTTTGGGATGGAAATGAGGAGTATTTCAATGTAAGTCATCGTATAATCTCCCTTATCTGCATATAGTCTTTGCAAAGATCATGCTTCTCTATTTTCCTAAAAGAAAAAAAGATCATGCTTTTTAAAATATAACAGCAATAATAGCCAGTATAAACACTATTAATGGCATGGTTAGTTTGAAGGACAAGTAGTGAGACTATTACTATTCTTGTTAATATAGATGTTGAATTATGGTGGTGTAAGAGTGCAGAAATGCTAACGTCTAATCCTTTTCTTGTCCAGGTAATTGATTCAGAGAGTATCAGTGAAGATGATCAGGGGTCCGCCATAACACACTTCCTCGAAGGATATAAAGAAGGAAGGACAGTATCAAAAAAGATTAGTGGCCCATCATTCATGCAGTTCCTGAATTCCATGATTGGCCTCAAATTAGTTTTCCTTGTTGTTTTCCTGGTAGCTGTCATGATGATAATACAAACCCTTGGTAAAGAAGATGAAGATAATGCTAGTGCACAGCCTTTGAGACCTGATAGCAGTGAAGCACAAAGATCAGGTGACAAGGAAGACTAGGAAAATATGCAACTTCAAGATTATCTCCTCAATCGTGACGCGACTTAAGTTGGAGCAGGATTGCTTAGAGGGAGACAAGACGAGTCGCTAACAGCTTCACCTAGTGGTTCCTCGAGTTTTGCCTTTGGCATTAGAATCTGCCATCACGTTTGGCCTTAAATTATGAGGTCACCCCATTGTTTGTGATTCTCAATGACAATGGCTCTCGTTGCTGCTAACTTATTATGCTTTGTAAGCTGATTTCTTAGGGTTTTCTTTTTTCTGGTTTTATATCCTTTGTACAAGTAAAGAAAAATGAAACATATCCTTTGTTCAAGTAAAGAAAAATGAAACGGAATTTTGATCCATCCAATGTTTAGATTTGTTGTACGAGTACTTAATAAAAGAAATGAAGTTAAATCTTTTATGTAAATTGTGCAATAAAGCGCCGCTTTATAATTGTATTCTACTAGCGAAGTTTAGTACTTTTTTACTAGCAAGGTTTGTGGGTTGGGAGTAGTGAGGGAGTTCAATCCACCACCCATAAACTAAGTGGACCGGTTTAGATTGGGTAGTGCGGCCAAATCCAAATATTTTGTTGGTCTTAGGCTGAATCAAACTAGTGACCATATTAGATTAGTAGATAAGATTTACAGATACTTCGTACATTAATTACCATTGTATTTTTATCAATCTTACATCCAATCACATTTTCACAAGATCAGATCAAATTAGATTAGAAAAAAACAAAAAAACAAATACTACTTCGAAAATATAAGATCCGGTGAACCGTTTTAAGTTTAATTAGAAACAACTAAAGAAGAAACTTGTATTGGGTAGAGGAGGTGGATCCCATAAACAAAAGTGGTCCAAGTTCAAGAGACAGTTAACCAAAAACATATACACAATATCATTTATTTGTACAGATAATGTTGATGAGGTTTGAGGATCGAGCAGAATAATCTAGTACTCAATAATTTCATTTTTTTTTTTTTTTGGGGATAAACTTGTTATCACTGTATTCAATTGACATCTTGGGATTCATTATCCAATAATAATGTAATTTGTACAAAATAATCTAATTTTCCCTCTAAAATAATAATAATAATAAAATAAAAAAATAAAAAAAAACAAAGCACATTGTTTTCTTTGTCTAGTGTCCTCTGTTTTCTTCCCTGTCTAAATCTGCAAACAATCTAAAAAAATCTGGCAACTCCCTTTTCAATTTGCAGATGGAAGCTGATGTTTCCATCCTTAGAAACCCTAATTTCCCTTCTTAATTAGAGAATCTGCTGTTTAATTAGGTCAAAATTAAAGCTTTCCCTTTCTGGGTTTATTTGCAAGCTAATTCCTTTAAAGTTGACAATCCTGTTTTTTCTTATTTCTTGGAACTTGAGACTTGTGAGTCAACCTTCCTAAGTAAACCCTCAGAAAAAAATTTCTAAACTTTTCCGGTTTCTTGTAAAAAATAGTTACAAGATCAGATTTGGGTATTTTCTATTGGATAATAATTGATATGGGTCTTAAGATTTCGAAAGGAATCTTATTTTGTAGTATATATTTGATCATGATGCTGAGTTTCTCTTCTGCTTCTGTTGTTCTGATTGGGACAAATTTCACAGTCAAATTTGATGATATTGAAGCTAATTTTGGTGAGTTTCAAATCTTAATCCTTGCATTATAGTTCAAATTAAACAATTGTTTATTTATATTATTTTTGGGTTCAATGATTTATGTTAAGGAATTTTTTGTTTGATATGAAATTATGCTATCTGGGTAAGTTCTGATATCATGAATTTATGATTGGTAATTTCAGCACCGCCTTTGGGGCCTACTGGTATGTGTGGAAGATTGTACATGGCAGAGCCAATAAATGCTTGTTCACCATTGAAGAATAGTGTTGAGCTTGATGGAAATTGTTCATCTCCGATTGCATTGATTGTTAGAGGTGGATGTAGCTTCGAGAATAAGATTAGAAGGGCGCAGAATGCAGGTTTTGAAGCTGTAATTATCTATAATAATGAGGATGGTGGTGCTTTGGTTGCAAGTAATTCTCTTTTTCCTTTTGTCTAATTAAATTGAATCATTTTTTGTTGTGTGTTGTATGATTTACTTGCTCGAATTGAACTCGAAAACAATGAATTGGGGTTTTGTTGAATTTTGCTCCTGCTTATCTAGTTGATTTGTTGATTTTGATGACATAATTGAGTTTAGGAGGCTAAATTAACATATAATGATGTCGAAACTCGAACCATTGTTGATAGTTGGAATTGAATTGTGAGAGTCTTTGCTTATCTGAAACTAGGTAGATATAAAATACAGAAGTTGGATTGGTCTTCCGGATGTATCTTTTTTTTGTTGTAATTTCCCTATGGAATTGTGGATTGAGGACCGAGCTGCGAAGAGTTTAAGAAAGTTTTGGAAATTATTGACTGGGATTTTCACTTTTATGCCTTTAACCATATGTTTAAGTTATGTATCTGTCTGTATATTTTATGAATAAGTTATGTGATAGAAGATATTCTTTGGATATATTTTAGGGATGTATAAATATACTTATGTATGTAAATATTCGCATTAATTTAGGTTTCCTAACATAATTAGGACTCGTGTTGTAACCCTATGTATTATTTATTGATCATTTGTATATAGTCCTCAAGGGAGTTTACACAATCTAACATTATGTTGCAACATTTTAAGGAATTGTTTTCTGGCAATGCAGTGGCAGGAAATTCTGCTGGTATAAATATCCATGCTGTATTTGTTTCAAAAGCAACTGGACATAAGTTGAGGACCTATGCTGACCCTGATGTGGAAGTGTGGATGTTTGCTAGCTATGAAAGTTCTGCATGGTCGATAATGGCAATTTCTTTCATTTCTCTTCTGGCAATGTCTGCGGTGCTGGCTACTTGTTTCTTTGTTAGAAGGCACCGTGTTAGACGAGAAAGGCCTCAAGGTCGGGTTCGAGAATTCCATGGGATGAGTAGCCGTTTAGTTAAAGCTATGCCGAGCTTAGTATTCACATCTGTAACGGAGGAGAATTGCACAGCATCAATATGCGCTATCTGCCTTGAGGACTACAGAGTTGGAGACAAGCTCCGGATTCTGCCATGTCGCCACAGTAAGTTATGCCTATAGAGATGGTTCTTTGCATTATTCTTTGCTTGTGAGTATTTGCTTTGGGTACTATTGCACCCTTGTTTTACTTCTTATGGCGATTCTGTTTGGTGTATCGCAACATCAGTAGAAGCTAATTTGAGTATTTACCACCACATCGATGCACTAGAAGCGAGAATCTGGATGTATTTATAACTAATATTCTGTTTAACCTTAAAGCGTAGAGCTACCTGGTACCCTACAAATCTACAATTCCTTTGTCCAGTTCTATTCTGCTTTAAAAAAATTGGGTTAGTAGTGTAAGCTGTTTTTGCCTAATATGGTTCTTGTTATCCTATTAGGAATTCTCTTGAACAGTATTTCTGATTATTCTGTACCAATCATTAGTTCTGACTTTTCTGAGTGATGATGAAAGGGAACTTGTGTCCCTTGCTCATCATATAAGTAAAGTTCCATGCTTAAATCAATTTTTTTCATTTTACTTACCGACTTTACCAGAGTTTTATGGGTTCGATGGTCATTACACCAAGATTCACGATAGGTCTTGTAAAATAAAAAACAAATAAATTAAGCTGATTATGCTGATTTTCCAACTTGAGTTTGTTCTATGGCTTCTACCAGATTCAAATGGTAAATTGGTAATAGGATACTTTTACCTATTTGCTTGATGTGCTTTCAAGTATAATAGTAGTTTTTTTTGGTGTCCACGGAGGATCTAACTAGTGATGTTTTGAATTTTGCAGAATTTCACACATTTTGTGTGGATGCTTGGCTCACTTCATGGAGAACATTTTGCCCGGTATGTAAACGAGATGCAAGGACTAGCACTGGTGAACCTCCGGCATCAGAATCTACACCATTGCTCTCGTCCAATCCATCATCTGCTGCTTCTTCACCGTTTTCTTCATTCAGGTCATCATCTGTACGTTCATCTGCTATACAAATAGCTTCACCAAGTCCAAGATCCCGTGCAACATCTCATTATCCTTCTGTTTCAAGTAGCCCTCAAATACCTCGTCCTCTTAACTCATATCATAATCAACATTCTCCTTCAATGAGTTTGAGTCGAAGCTCGTTAGATCTTAGGAATATGTCTTCCCAAAGGTCATATGCCTCTCAGTTTTATTCTCCAGGTTCTCTGGGCTATCCATCTGCATCACCTCTCAATACTAGATACGTGTCTCCTTATGTTCCAAGTCCTAGTAATGCTTCATCAAGTTATCTTGGATCTTCTTCTATGAGATACCCAACTCCATTGCATTACAGTGAATCTGCAGCAAGTTTTTCACCATATAGTTCTGCACAATCCCTTCCTGGGTGTTGATTTATGAGTGGTACGTGAAAGTAGTGTACTAGTATGTGAATTCTGCCATGTAACTGTCATTTTAGATACTGACACTGTGTAGATCTTTCTGACCTCTAACTTATACCTGTTTGATCCTTGCCATGGTGCTGAATTCTGTGTATATTGTAGCTTAGGGTAGTGTTGAGTTTTGCTCCCCTTTTTTTTCTTTTTTGTCCTTTTAGGCCCTCCGTTTGATAATGAGTTATCTTGTGTTGGTTTCCAGAGTTGAGGCTCCAATGTTTGCATAAACTATTATACAAATTACCATTAGTGAATAAAGATTATTATTTTGTTCTTGTCTTTGTTGGATAAGCACATTGATTAAAGTGATTGTATATGCTAAGCTCGGATCAGCTTACTGTTTATTTTTATTTGTTTTTCTTAAGGTTCATGTTAGTCTTATTCCGTAAACAACTGCTTTCTTGCAGTGTAAATGGAAATAATGAGATACTGGATCTGCTGTCTTTATTACGTTTAGTCATTTCTAGTCTTTCCACTCAAGTTGGCTACAGTAAGAAAACCTACATTACAGGTTCATTACAGGTTAGATTGCTTCTATTCAGATTGTTTTAAGTTAGCATTCTATTGCTTTTAAATTCTTATGTTCGCAATTTGGAGCCAGCAATCTGGGTTATACAAGCCGTGTTTCTGTGAGTATCAGTTTTATATCTGAATTGACCGTCATCATTATCACAGTATGTACATATGAAATAGACTTAGGAATTAGGCGACATAATCGAATATGCGATGGTTTGCATGAATGATGATGCTTGGTGTCTGAGCTGATGAGGTCCAAGCAGTCTTTGCTTTGTTTTCTGTAGACATTCCAAGAGAATGCCAAGTAGGGTCTGTGATATTCTCATGGTTGAGATTTGTAGCTATAGAATGCGCGATTCATGAGCTGCTTCTGCTGCCTTATGTTAAGTTTCTAGTTACTGACCCCTGAAGTGGGTGGTCTTGTTGCATTTTAGTGTCACATTCTTACCTGCTGGCTTTTAGGTCCCCAAGAAACTTCACCATATATTTTCAAACAATTTGGATCTAAAGGGGAAAAAGACATAATTGGCTTCCTTCCCTTTGGATTGAGCACCATTGAGATTATTTTGTCAGAGAATGGTTTATTTACAATCACTATTTTAAATCAATACTAGTAGATTTTGTATGTCTCTCTATTGGATAATTTACGTTTTTCCCAATTTTGGACTGAATGAGAGACTATTTGGTAGCACAAGAGACATTTCTTCGGTTTTTATCTAGACCTTAAGTTTAAAGTTTTTATCATTTTCCGTTGATACATATATATATACATATACATATATATATATATATTCTCCAGGTTATTCAATGCATATTTTCAACTATAATTATCTTTAATATAAGTTGATATTTTGAATATATATATCGTTTCGAGGGGGATTGCATGAAATATGTGAATAATGTCAAAATCGACTAAAAATGGATTGAAGAGTTTCTGCTTTAATAGAATTCCAATCTTGGTATGAATCTGTTTGTTATTAAGTTTAGTGAATTCAGATGATAATCTTATCATGAAAAGAATTTGCATTAGCCAGTAATAAATTACCCAAGCAAATGCAGTTTAGCCTCTTGAATTGGGTCATATGAGACGGCCTGCCCAAAATGAGTTTCACACTATGGGCCATTGAATAGAGGCTATGTTTTTGTCTTGGACGATGCTATTAGACCTCATTCATAAAAATTTGATACTTAGACTCTTAGAGCTTTGTTTTTATAAACGAATGATGAGCAGACTTGAATACAACCCACTTTATTTGGGATCGTCCAATTTTATTATTCATTCAAATACAGCTAAGGAGGTCACTAACTAGTCCAGTCGATTAATCTCCCTAACTATACAATTGTAGACGAAATTTGATCACATGTCTTTGATAACACATCCATTACATTAGTCCTGCACACTTATATGTAGAATTTGTTATATACACCCTGGTGTACCCTCTCGCTTATATGTATTAGTGTTTAATGACTAGTTGCATTAATTACATTACACATCTAGAAACATAGTCTATCACTTTCTTTAATTTTATTTTGATGATATTTATAAAGATATGAACTTTTACTTGGATGATTATCTTATCATGAAAAGAAAACAAAGCTTGAATGATGGAAGCATGGTTGGTAGGTGCTTGATGGTGAGGATGGACGTGAAACATTCATACGTGTATAATTCTTGTATTTAGTTGCGTATGTATTACTTTATGCCTTTTTATTATTAAGGTGACTATAACTTATACAACCATTATGTATATATTTATGTATGTGTATAAAATTATATTTCTTATTTGATTTTTATATAGGTACGATGTTATGTACAAGTATGTTTTTGTTGTGTCCTAGTAACTACGACTAGGAGCTCTGCAAATGTAGATGATGAAATTATATATTGTTTCTTTGCAACTTTTCATGTAGATAAGAGGACAAGTTTGTTGTAGGCTGCTATATTAGTTTATACCATTAAATAAATATATGTAATCAACTAAGTAAGTTAATCAAATGAATTCAAATTTTTGTCCCTCTCAACTACACAACTCAACCTAGAGGCAGAATATATATGATACAGATTTATATACTAGTATATTAAAAATTAACTCAACAACGATATTGACCAAATATTCATTTTTTTTAGCTTGCATACTCGTGTCTATATCATAGAAAAGTTTGATCAAATACAAGTCTAGTTGGGTCGATTAATCTAATTTATAAGCAAAGCATGACAAATCATATATGTTTGTTCGAAGTATTTTGCCTGAAATAGTTTTATTTAAAACTATGTGAAAAAGCTTTTTTTTTTTTTTCCTACACTTATTTGAATTTATTTTGTTTGAACTTATCTGAACGAACATATTTTATCTGAAATACTACCTCCGTTAAATATTAGTTACAACTTTGGAATATTTTATGTCTCTCAAATAATACCCCAAAGTTACAACTAATATTTAACGGAGGTAGTAAATCAATTAAATTAGATTAAGATAAAACAAATATGTCCAAATCACCCATTGTATTTCTTCTCATTAAACCAATTCAACAATAGTCATGATCAATAAATTTAAATTAAAGACTGAAAAAAATTTAGTAATAAGTTGGCATACCTGGACAAATACTAGTATATCTAAACTAAATCTAAGGTGGCACCTAACAGAAATACATACCATATGAACTTATGAAGTATATATATATATATATATATAGTGTAATGGAATATAAGATTAGATTTGGATTATTTAAACCAAGATGTCACTAATTAAGATGACATGGAGCAGGTGTTTGACTTTGAGCCCTAATTTGTCCCCTAGTCATTTGTACCAAAAAGTATATACTTGTATAAACATACATAATGGTAAAAATATACATATAAAATCTCAACAATTAATATCTAACCGGCAATTATATACGAAGTACATACTAATTTGGGCTTGAACTAGTGACAAAGACGACTAAAGTTCCTATACAACAGGCCGGTCACAAGTTCTATGGCAGTATCAGAGCGGAAAAGCTATATGTAATATGTTAATTGTTAATTTGTTACCCTTAGCTTGGTTGTTGACTTGATGAACAAAGTTTACTGGACAAGTAGGTATGTAATTTAGGTCACAATTAAAGATTAAAGCGTACGCACGTAAATATATTTATTGAAAGAATCTTCAATATTAGGTTCATGATTTATGACGTTGACTAATTGTACTGCATGTTTTATGAAGCAGTAAATTAATGCTGTCTCCAATAATATATTACTCTTAAGCAACTATTTACAGTGCACGGTACGCTGATGTGAAGCTTTAATTAATTACTTTACTTTCCTAATAAAGTTGTTTTGGATTTCATTTTGGGAGAAGATAAATTTGCTGAACCCTTTTATATGTTATCGAGTCTAATATACCCTTTAGTTTAGTTGTGTTGTGTTAGTTAGTTGGAGACAATAAATTTCATTGTTGTAAATGTTGAGATGATCATGTATGGAGTTGTGTCGTGATTTCGATCCCATCTAAATGGGATGAACATTTAGGGAAAAAAAATTGACTAATTTTAAAGAGATCGAGTCAATTAACCCTCATTCAAATCTAATATATGGTTCGACTAAGAATTGGAATTAACCTAATGGCACTATCCCAACCATTATTGGGTTTTATTTGTAATTATTGAATGAAAAAAGGTTGGTTAAGACCAAAGAAATATATGTTACACCGTCTAATTGAATCGATGGAATAAAAAGAGTAAAAAAAAATCAAATATAAAATAAAGAAAATATATAGAGTTTTGAAAGTCGGACATCAACAAAATTATGGAAAATAGGAAAATATTTATGAAACAGATGAAGTAATATTTCAAGTTCAACATTTATTTATAGGTCTACTGTATGTATTTGTATAAAATGAATGACAATTAATCAATTATTGCTTCATGATTTATTTTTTTCTTTGGTAGGTAGATAGTCACGTACGTTATAATTTGTGGCGGCAGAGAAAATAAGTATGTATTTTTCTTCTACGAATACTCCCATTTTATAACTAAATATTAATTTCAGTGACAGGTAATAATTCCCTTTCGACCACAACACCAATTATATGATTAGAAATTAAATACACTAGTGGTAGAATTTAATAGCTAGTTAGGAACAAAAAAAAAAAGAGAGAGAGAGAGTCTTTATATAGTGATAAATAATAAAAGTCTATACACAGTAAGTCAAGCAGTCGAAATTTCCCTCTTGTTACTTAATCGTACCAAAATGGAGATTATTAATATAGAAACCATATTATTTAGGAGGTGTTTGGTTCACCAAGTTGTCATGGATTGGTATTGAATCTCATACTAGAGAGGTATGGATTCTAAAACCCATACTAGTCCAAAGTTGTTCGGTTTTATTGTTGGAATGAATTCTATTCTTCATTAATAGAATGGATTGTGAATCTTAAGGGGATGAGTGGGTATGAGATTCCATGGGTATGGGGGGAATTAGAACCCTTGGGTATGAGATTCCATTACAAAAAACCTCAACCAAACAAAAAATTAGATGAAATGGATTCTAACTCTATTTCAACCCATTCCAAATTATCTAACCAAACAGCCCCTCATATACATAAGTATATAACTGAACAACATATATATATAATTATATAAGTGCTGCCTTTTGCATTATGCAAAATACACCTGTATATAATTGAACAAAATACATAACTATTTAAGTGCTGCCTTTTGCATTAAGCAAAATAGAGGAGTGATTTTGGAAAGAAAAAAAAATTGCAATTACAATATATAATCAATAATAAAATGAAAATGATATAAAAGAAGGAACAGAAGAGTAGTAAGTACTAACTAGTCAATTTTGTACAAGCAATTTAGGCCTACAACTATCAACAGTAGTCTATTTTTGTGAACTTGACAAACACTCTATTTCATATGAATATTTTTTTTCCCTAAAGCATGGATGAATTAATTACTGCACATAATTTGGAGTGCCTAAAAAAAATAAAAAAAAAAATCCTCTATATAATAAATAAATTTCAAAATTAATAAAGCCCCTTGATATAATTTAGCGTCGTCTATGAATTGATGTTTATGCATTTAGTTTGTTAACATTTTAGTCTTTTTTTTTTTTAATCAAATTTTAGTTTTCATTTTCATTTTAGTTTGTCTCATTTGTTATCCCTTTCATACAAGTATAAGGAGTACATTCTTGACTTATATATGTCTACTCATAGAAGGAAAAACAAAACAAAAATAAATAAATAAAGTATAATGTACCCAATAGGTAGATTACCTCCTTATCTTGCTATGCTCCCAATTCTTACAAGGAGTATTAATGTGTTTTTTTTTTTTCTTTTTTTTTGGGAGATATTTTTGCATGCTTTACCTACTCAAACTTAATATTTATTGACCCTTGTTGAGAAATAAATTGACAAAGACTTTTTGACATCACGAGGTGAAGAATGTTTAGTGGGCCTTATATAGGTCCATGTCGACCATGTCCTGTTATTCAATCTATCCATTTCAGAATAATTAACATGTTATTTTGAACCCGTAGTCTTAATAAAGTCAATAGAATTAGTTTATATTATTACAAAAAGAAGACATGTATGTGAGTGTGGGAAAAGTTAGTGGATTATGTGAGTAATCTACGTATGTGTGGTAAAAAGTCCGTATAATTTAATAATGATGGTCTCTTGTCATTTATTTTTTTTGGTGTTTAGAGAGCCACAAGGGCAAGG